AAGAAAATGTACAATATTTTTTATAAAATTTATGATAAAAATCAATATTTTTTAATATTAATATTTTTATAGAATAAAAAATAATATTTGTAATAGTATCTATTTATTATAAAATAATTTAAAAATTAATATAAAAAGAAAAAAACAATAAAAAAACAGAAAAAATAATAAAATAATAAAAAATGAAATGATAACCTAAATATAGGGGTGCCATTAGCCTGTGCCTATATATATATATATATATATATATATATATATATATATATATATTTACACTTGATATAATTCTTGTAAATATAATATTAAATAAATAATAATAAATTAAGAGGTGACACGTGGACGTGGTTGGATGACGTGGCCAAGACGATGCTACTTTGAGCCATTTTTACCTCTTCTGAAAACAGAGCAACAGAAGCTTTGGTGGCGCACATTAGCCATTCAACCCCCCTTACGGGTTCTTTTTAGTAACTATCACACTGCCAAATCACTCCTGCTCATCTGTGACTCCCCTCAATCTCTCTGCCACCACCTCCTTATCCTGCGCATCCCGTCCTCCTCCTACAGTCCTAGGGTTTCTTCTTCTCTCTACCACCAATAAAACTCGATTTTATCTTCTTCATCGTCAATGCTTTTATCCACGTACCTAGGATTTGACTCTTCGTTCGTCTCGTCTTCAAAGCGCAACATACTATGGACCCGAATCGCCAACTCAGGAATCCTTATACTTTTTCAAATCTCTTCAATCTTGAGGTATACATGTGAAAATTTCTGTTCCCTCAATTTTCGATTTGAATTATCATTTTTGTGTATTTGATTGTTGATGGGAGGATTAACTTGGTTGAAATTTAGGATTTCTAATGTTAAGTTATTTTGTTTTTGTTTTTATAGTATTATCAAAGAATTATGGGTGCTTATTAATTCATATTGTTGGCATATTTGTAGTCTTTGATGAACTTTCAACTACCCCAACCAGAAGATGAGTTTGATTATTATGCCAATAGTAGTCACGATGAGAGCACAGGTAAGTTCGTCTTTACAACAATTTTCTCTTTTTCATTAGCTGTTGATTTTCTAGCGAATCACAATTACAAAAAGAAAATGAATCGTCTTTTCCAGGGGTGAGCATGGTGCGGTTTGGGGCCAATCCGTAAACTGAACCACACCGCATCTGTGTTTTGAGCATTTCCTAAACTGCATATGTGGTTTGATCATTTTCCTAGACCGCATATGCGATTTGCACATTTCTCCAAGCTGCAAATCACAATGTATATATCTCAAACCGCAAACTGCACCGCGTACTCCCTACAGTAAAAAGTTTCAGTACGTCCAAAATACATAAATTAAAATAGTCTAAAACAAACTTATAGAGTTCCATAATTAATCCAATTATCCAAATACATCTATAATGTTAACTTCAACATAAATTCGAAGATGGCGTGTGACTTGTCTGTATTTTGTTTTTCATTTGGAGCCCTGACTCTCGATAAATGTAAATACACACACAAAAACACATATATTACAACATATTACAACCCAATTATTCTAAATGTATGTGTTATATATATATAAAAAACCATGCAGTGTGGTGCAGTTTGAACCATGGTTTCATTATTTAAAACCGCAAACCGCACCGTAAAGTGTGGTTTGATAAAAGTGTGAATTGCAAACCACACCGTGAAAGTTAAAACTGCACGGTGTCGTGTGATGAGGTGCAGTATGGGCGGTTTAGATGCTTATCCCTAGTCTTTTCAGCAATTGTTTACATACATGACACATAGAAAGGAGCATATTGGCTTTTGCATGACTAATTAAAGTTTGTTAAATTGTCCACAAGAATGCACTTAGTGATGTTAATGGTTTTGGTAATCAACAGGTGGACAAGCAGACCGATGTAATGGAATACTGTTAGAAAAGAGAAAGAGGCGAAATGTGTATAGTTGTGATGAAGACCAGAATGGCGGTTATAGTACATACATCTCTGAGGAGCGATATAGAGCCATGCTTGGCGAGCATGTCCATAAGTACAAGAAAAGGCACAATAATAATTTGACTAGTGCTCCTTCCATCGGCAACAGGATGTCAGACATGAAGAGCAGTTTAGGTTTAAAAGACCATAAAGGAGCACACAAAATTGAAACAACTTCGAAGTTTTTATATGATAGTTTAACCCAGAAGCTGGGGGTAACTTCAACGAAGCAGATTTTTTTCCTCATTTTAACACGGATAGGTTGGCCGTCACTTGAAGCCTAAGGGTGGGTTTGGTACGCAGACAGGACTGGACGGTCGAGAGTGAGGCAGGTGGGTGAAAGAATTATGCGCGTCTTAGGTATTAATTTGACATGGGTAGTTTAGTGATTTACCAATTTTTTCCCATCTCCCTGATCTTTTTCCACCTATTTTGGTGGGACAGTCTTGATGTCACACGAAACATAGGAGAACAAGTTATTGTCCCATCCCGTCCTGTCCCACGTACCAAACGCACCTTAAATGTATTACGTCTGAGTCGTCATTGTAATGTGCAGGTCATTTTCTAAACCTGCTTATCTCGATATTGGAGATGGCATCAGTTACAGAATTCCTCCAACTTATGAAATGTTGGCCGCTTCATTAAACTTACCTAGATTATCAGAGATTCGGGTGGAGTTCTACCTTAAAGGAACACTTGATTTGGGCTCATTAGCTTCAATGATGGTTGTTGACAAAAGGTTTTGCTCCAGAAGCGGAGCAGGGATGGGTGAGCCTAAATTCCAGTATGAATCTCTTCAGGCAAGATTGAAGGCACAATCATCAAATAACTCCCCCCAAAAATTCAATCTTAAAGTTAGCGATATTGCATTGGATTCATATTCTATCCTAGAAGAAGCAGCTGGGGGAATTCGGCGTTCCATCATGTTAGATGGTGGAACTTTGCAGGTTTTTTATGTGAAGGTGTTGGAGAAAGGTGACACGTATGAGGTTTGTGTTGTATGTCTTCATATCTTCCTTGTATGGTAAATTAGGATTTTTTGTTGGCTGTTGTCACCATATACGACTTGAATGTTCTGACATCCAGATTATCGTACGTAGCTTGCCCAAGAAGCAGAAGGTGAATGATGATCCATCTATGATTGAGAAAGAGCAGATGAATAAAATTGGTAAATATTGGGTCAACATGGTTAGAAAAGACATACCAAAGCATCATAGGGTTTTTATCATCTTCCACAGAAAGCAATTAACAGATGCCAAGAGATTTGCCAAGCTGTCAACGGGAGGTAGGTGCATAAACTTTATGATTATTTTTGGGGCACATTACAAAGTGACCTGGTATTTCGTTTAATCCACAAAGCTGTAGTGGGTGGCAGCTATTCAATTTTGTATATAAAATATCTCTTTTTCTATCTACATGCTTAAGATGTCGTTACTTGTTCCAGGTAAAGATGAAGGTAAGCAGATCACATGAGTTGATGAGAGGTGCTTCAATTCGCACGAGGAAAATGGCAAGGGACAAGCTCGTCTTTTGGAAGAGAGTAGATAAAGAGATGGTAATCTTTTTATATTCTAATTGTTGGACAAAATTGCCAACATAAATATCGTATAGCAGAATGATGACTGCTTTCACCTCCTCAATTCCTTGTTCCATGTGTCATAAATAAAGAGGACTATTTGATGGATCCTGCAGTGTGGAAGCAAAAGATTGTGTATCTCTGATTATATGACAATCTTTTGTCTAATCTGTAGCGAGTTCAATGGTATGAAATTTCTACTATGAATTTTGGTGTATACAAACAGAGTCTATTAGGAGAGGGAGGATTTTTTTTTTTTGCTTCTATGGTGGACATCAAGATGGTGCTTCTTTATCTGAGTTCTTATCTAAGATATTTGTATGATGCAAGAATGCATGTAAGATTGATTAGGATTTTATTTTCTTACTCGATCTTCAAGCGTTATTGATATCATCGTAGTTTTCTATTTTTAAATGCCAGTTATTTGCACTTTGGACGATGCAAACTGTTATTCTCTCTTCACTCACCCGATGATATGTATTCCTACATTTAACACCTTGCGACTCTCATCTAGAATTTTACTAAAGGCTCTTTGTCCAAGCACTAGTATTTATTTTATATATACAGAGCTATGGGAAATCACCAAGTTTTTTACAAAACAGTTATTTTGTAACAGACCGAAAAAATTTGATGTAGAAACAATTGCTTTATTATTTTGTAAAAGAAAAACAGTTTTGTAAGGGGTATGATTTTCTTATATATCTTTTCTGTGGTAAATTAGCTTAGGGAATGATTCATCTATATCCATTTCTCCTTTAGGCTGAATTAAGGAAAAGAGAAGAAAGAGAAGCTGCAGAAGCCTTGAAGCGTGAACAGGAGCTTCGTGAAGCTAAGAGGCAGCAACAGGGACTTAATTTTTTTTTTTGAAAGGAAACCAGACAAATTTATAAAACCAGTAAAAGAAATACAGAGTTTAAGCGAACGACCACACCCAACCAGCCTGAAACACAAAAGACTTGGTCATCACACCATACCAAGCCACAAACAAGCCAAAAGGTACAAAGCCCAACAAGCTTAACCAAGCAACAAAAAATAAAGAAAAGGAGTTTCAACCTCAAAAAATCCCCCATACCAAAACCCTATCCTCCATGTAAACCATCATTCCGCACAACCCGTCTCTCCAGCCAAGCCACACGAATAGAAATTGTACTATTGATTTCTTTGATAAGTTGAACAGCTGTGCGGCGATTCTCTGTAAAAAGTCTTCTGTTCCGCTCCTACCACATATAATAAACAGAAGCCGCCAGCGCAAGCTTCTGTTTTAACCGTTTCGGACGTCGGCTCGAATCCGAAATAGCTTCTAGAATATGATCCCATGAGGCTGGCATATTCATCTAGTCAACATCATGTAAGATGCTATCCCAAACTTCTCGAGAAAAGGAACACTGGAAAAATAGATGGGAATGGTTATCCATACAGTTGCCACAAAGCGAGCATTCCAAGTCCGGTGGTTCATCCTTCCAAATCATTCGTTCTTGGGTAGGAAGACGCCGCTGACAAGCAAGCCAAAGACACCAAAACATGCTTAGGAATATGGCCTGAGAACCAGACCGATCTATACCAAGGTACAACCGGATGGTTCCCTTCTAACGAGGACCAAGCAGTACTTACCGTGAAATCCAAACCAGAATTGCTAGTATCCCCCCAAAGAACTCTATCACGAACTGAATCATTCAAATAAGGCAAAGGACAAGTACTAAGCTCAGCATACCTGTTACACCAATCAGCTGGCCACTCCCCGTCCAAACTCATAATTAATTCCCGGACCGTAGTGACAGTAGAAAACCCACAAGAATGGATGAATCGGTAGGAGATGAAGGCCGAAAGATGACCACAGGCAAGCCAAGTGTCCTCCCAAGCATTAGAATCCCGACCGTCACCAACCTGGGAGATCAGAAATCTTCTCAATTGAGGTCATAAGTTCAATAGCTTACGGAAAACCCACGACTAATTGGAATTGTTTCGAACAATCTAGAAGTGTGAAGAGCGAAGATTATTCCGATACACCCATCTAACCCACAACGAGTTACGATGCCGCACAATATCCCAGATATGTTTAGCAAGTAATGCCCTGTTCCAGGTTGTCAACCGCCGAATGCCAAGACCGCCACTTTCAAGAGGCCGACACACCACATCCCATGATAACCTACACCTACCTCTAAGATCCTCCCTTGGAGCCCAAAGGAATTTCCTAAAGATAGATTCAAGACCATGTATAAGCCCAGAAGGAAATAGGAACATAGACATCCAATGAAGCTGCAAGGATTGAAGGACCGAGATAATAAGTAGTCTGCGCCCCCCAAAAGAAAGGAACTTAGACTTCCAATTAAGAATGCGACCCTTAATCTTCGCAATCAAAGGGCCATAATCACCTATCTTCAACCGGGTATGGGACAATGGGACTCCCAAGTACCTGAAAGAAAAAGAACCAAGTTTGAAAGGAAGACATTCAAGAATAGCCTCCTTAATGTTAGGAGGAACATCCCCAAAGAAAATCTCACTTTTCTCAATACTTGGCGCTAACCCCGAACGTTGCTGGAAGAGAAAGATGGCCTTTTTCAGAATTTCCACCGATTGAACATCACCCTTAGTGAACACGAACAGGTCATCAACAAAGCAATGGTGCGTCAAATCCAACTCTTCACAACCCCTGTGGTACCCAAAATCAGCAGCTTCCCAAATACATTGCTTATGGAGCATGGAGAACCCCTCCATCACGATCGTAAATAGATATGGGGAAAGCGGATCTCTTTGCCTCAGTCCCCTTCCTCCATGAAAAAACCCATAAGTATTACCATTAACCGCAAGCGAATAGGAAGTAGTAGACACCATCTCCCTTATCCACTTAACCATATCTGGATGGAAACCCCTGTAACATAATAAGTAGGAATCGCCAATCCACCGTATCATAAGCTTTTTTGATGTCAATCTTAAACGCACATCTCGACGGACTTGTCTTAGAATTGTAGCCTGATACTAGCTCGTGAGCCATAAGATTGTTATCCGTAATCCGCCGACCCGGAATAAAAGCCGATTGGGCCCCATCAATTAAAGAATCCAAATAACCCTTTATTTTGTTTACAATAACTTTACTTATGCATTTGTAAAGCACTGTACAACAAGCTATAGGTCGATAATCCGAAACCTTAGAAGCATTAACAGATTTAGGGATAAGACAAATAAGAGTATGATTCAATTCTTTCGGGAGGTTACCTCGATAGAAGAAGTTGTGAATAGCAATCTCCACATCGCGACCAACTATATCCCATGAAGCTTTGAAAAACTGAGACGAAAAACCATCAGAACCTGGGGCTTTATGATTTCCAATACTGAACATAGCATTTTTAATTTCTTCATTCGAGATAGGCCGAATCATATGGTTGGCTTTCGATATAGAGAGTTTCCTTGTAAAAAGATCTTCAGACATAACCGGATAAGAGGAATCATCCCTCATACCATAAACATAGTCACCACGGCTAGAATAGATGATAACTCTCATTTTGTTAGAGTTATTTGTTGTTCTATACCCCTATTTTATTGTATCTTTGGTACCCATTTTGCTCCTATCCTATATTTTTGATCTAAATTATGTTAAGAGGTGATGAAAGGTTAAGAATTTAATTATTGTCTAAAAAACTCTTTATTGTTGGTAAATTTGGCATCTAGTTGGATTTGAACAAAATTATGATATTCATATTCTTGGATATTATTGRGAGTTAATGCTAAGTTCAAATCTAATTACTTGGTTGCATGGAAGATTGAACCTAGTTATGGGATGATGAGACTTGGATGAGTTCTTTTTGTACMATGATGGAATGRCTTTTCCATCACATTTATTGGTTGTACCTTCACCCTTTTGCAACCTATCAAGAGGAGGTGACTTGGTCATGATTGAAGAAGACATGTGGTGATGGGTGGTCATTACCCATTGGACAAAGAGTATTTGGGTCCCACCTTTCCCCCTATATATTTGAAGACTTATCTCAAGCATCAATCCATCTCCAATCCAACTCAATCCAACTTTTCCACCAGCACCTTGGAGCATCCTCTTAAAGCTTTGTAGCATTAGAACTAGTTTATTTTCAGTTTGTAATTTAATTTTCGTAGTTCAGCTTTTATTCTCGACACTGTATTGTGTGCCCTCTGTGGGCACCAGTAAGTAATTATTTWCAGTTCAAGTATTTCTTATGCAGCTTTCTTCTTCTATTTATGTTACGTTTTCTAATTTCATTATGAGCTAAGCACCCCCCTTGGGTGTGGGTGTGAGTCAAGCTTAAGGATTTAAGGGCACACTTGGGTGTTGCCATTTTTATTGATTCTCAAGCTTGGTCATTTAAGTCGGGACGTAAACTCAACGCGGATAAGCCGATCACTTTGAAGTGTTAATATTAGATCCTTGATCCAGAAATGGGCGGATCTGAAATACGGCTTAGATGATGCACAAAGGTTCGAGAGAGTCTTTGATAATCACGCAGAGATGCGGGTTTTGCATGTTTTTAGCTTTTGTTCAGATATTAGTCGAGTTTATGCTACAATACGTTGTGAGTAAATCTTCAGACTAGTGGAGCCAGATATCTTTTTATCTAGTAGCTAAATCGGCAAGTTTAAGATTGATAATTTTGGACGCTTTGTGGGCACTCTGTGGGCACAGTATATAAGAATTCCTTTCGAGAGAAAGGAGTTGTTATAGAAATCCCATGGGTTTCTAACCAAGTCGTTCCTACATTATTCTTAAGCAAAACTTACACCCATACCCAACTTTTAATATTAAAGATTTATTTCGTATTTTTACGCTTTGCACCAATTAAAACTCAAATATTTTCTCAACCCGAAACATTGTTCAAGAAGTTCATAAAAGTCTCTGATTCTCAGTACGTCCGGTCCCTGTGGAAACGATCTTGGTACTATACCATTTTATTACTTGAAGCGATCTTAGTGTCGGCGTGCACTTGCACCGCCACTTTGGGGATTTTATGCCCACTGTGTGCACACTTACGAATCAAGCACATCAAGTTTTTGGCGCCGCTGCCGGGGACTGGCACGATTTTTATCCTGAGATATTGATTTTTATTTGAGCCTTGGTCAGTTGTTTCATTCGCTGTTCCTGTGTTGTATGTCACGGCTACAACACGGTGATCTTGTACCTCTTGATCTTGTGTTAGAAAGAACAATTAGGAGACGAAGAAGAGGTAGAAATAATCGGCGAAATCCCAACCGTACAATGGGGGATAATCCACCTCCTCGGGAAGCCACGGTTAATATTGCCGATGAYAAGAATAGA